AGTTTGTTCTTCCTTTTTAAAATGCGACTCCCCTTGCTGAAATAAAAGTCTAGCGTGGGCTTATAATTTAGGCCACCATTAAAAGAAATTCGGCCCGTTTCACCTCTGGGGAGCCACTTTGAATTCACCCTAACCTGGGAAAGCCGGAACGGTATCATTACCGGACAGCCCTCTGGTTGTTTAAACGGCAGGCGCCGGGCAGGTCTTATCGTAGGTCCCAAGAACTAGGCGGCTGCACAGAAATGAGCTACCCCAGCTGCCTTGCTAGCTCACGTGCGAAGCTGGGACAAGTCATGAAGACCTCGTCCCCCTCGGGATGGCTTCTTCAGCTTAGGGCGGTGCAAAACTCACGGTACTTCTGCCTACGCTGTGTCTGTACTAACCACAGAAAACCTCCCTCAGCTTTGCTGACGATGCGGCGTCTTTGCCAGCACTAGGACAGGGTGATCTTTTAAAATATCCTTCTTTATGGTGACGAGACCCTGCTCTGTGATCTTTGTGACAACAACCACGTTTCCAAAAACCCTTCAGTGGCCAAATGGGGGACTTGCATAGACCCTCATCAGGAGACACGACAGTTCGTTCTGCTCAGGATGAAAGCTGTAGGCAAGTCGCACACCAACAGATGGTTAATTATTTCCATTTTTATTGCAATTCAGCTCAAAGACAGACCAAGCATGCCTGCCCTGATGTGAGCAAGCTCGGCTGCCTTGCCAGTTAGCGGAAGGCACTGTTTGTCCTCAATTTCTTGATGACCATACCAGTAAATCCAGCTTCCCACCACCATGGCCCACCCTCCACTAAACGACCACCCAGCAGCTGTGGACTATCATTTGCTCCTGAAGTCGGAGACTGTCAAGCCAGTCCTGCGAGGTAAAGCTCTGTCTTCAGGATGCTGGCAATAGTCATTACACCAAACAAAGGAAAACACAGATCGCTTTCCCCTCTACAACGAAGGCCCGTTTCACGATAAAACTCAAGGGGACTTTTGACATGGATTTCAGAGGAAGCAGGATCAATCCCTTTGCTTATAAACTTCAGTTTTAAAAATCCTACACAAACTCTTCTCCCAGTCCCTTGCAGAACATGCTTTTAAAAGGTCAACGTTGGAAAAGTCATCAGAAATATTTTAGGACCAGTCATTAACGACCACAGCAAACTAACCCCCTGGGTCTTCCAGCTCCGCCCTCCCAAATCTGTCCTCGACGGTGTCCTTCGTCACATACTTTGCTGTAGAAACGTGGGTCCAATTAAGGACAGCCATGTGCCAAATGCTTGATTTGTGGCTGGATCTGGAGAGGCCACTATGAAGATGAACACTCGGCACTCCACGATAAAACTTTGTCAGCCACGGTAATAAATCAAGAGGCAGGAAACCTTGTTAACAAACAGCTGCTTTAACTGAATGAACCCTCCTTTAGCTCTAATGAGCAATTTGACTAGCCAACAAATTGACAGGAGAGCTCTTTCCACAGACTTCATTTAGCCCTCGCATTTTTACAAACCGATTGTGCCAGCCTAATGTTCAGATCAGGTCAGATCCTGCCACGCTGGCTCACGATCGGTAGCGCTACCATACGCTATCAGTCGTCCCACTGAGATCAACAGGGTCTCTCGCAGAACAAGCTATGGAGGGTGAATAAAAATGGCAAAATCTGGCCCGTTAGGCAAAGCTCTTACCTGACCGGACATCCCCTCAGCACACCTTTTCCAGACCTACACAACAGGAGGCGGGAGCTGCTTCTCGCCGCTTCCCCGCCAATGCAAAATCCAGCAGGGCGAGGAACGCAGGAAGCCTTTGCTACAAATCAATGCCTTGTCTGCCTAGCTCAGGTACGCTTTTCTTACCCCGGCCTTTGGATTTGCCAGATATTCTACCGCTGGCCGGGATTTTACTCAGATATACTTCCTTGCGCTTCTTCCATTGCTTCAAACACAGTCACAGCAGGGTCTAAATTCACAAATAAATGCCTGGCAATAGCAATGTGGACAGGAAATGGAAATGGAAGTGGAAGCAGAAGCAGAAATGGCAACCTTGGTATATGCCACGTAAGCCCCGGGCAACGAAGGAGCACACGTTTCCAAACTGTCAGCCGTCTCAAAGCGGTGCCCACGCAGCTCTCTTTGACCAAGAGGAAGTCTGAAAAAGCCAGGCTGCTGATGTCAAATTAACGAGACAACTCTGCCCCAGCACCAGTGAACCCCCCGCCAACATGTCCTGTGTTCAGAAATGGGGTCTGGTTTGGCTTTTTAATTCTGTAATAAATCTCACACTCTCCCCCTATTCCAGTAATTCACCCCTTGCTGCTTTTACACTTGCATCATTTATACAAGTTTGCCCCCGTGCACTATTCCAGATCCTCCTCAGTAAAAAAAGACATATGGTAGATCTGTTTAGATCTCCCTGCATTCACGGTATATGCGTATCGTGCACGAATCGTTTCCTAGCTGGCTATCGGTATATGCGTAGGCGCACACTTTATCTATTCATCCACACACGCTGCGTGCAGCTGGATAGGCAGGATATGCGAGAATTAAAGGAGAAAAGGAGCAAAGAGGCATAACTCCCAGCACAGGTCCCGACACAGAAAAGCAAAGTAAGAAAATCTTTCACAATCTACTATCCCAAACATTGCAGCCGCACAGATTGCAAGCGTATGCATCTCACTGCTCCTTTTTGTCAGGGCACCTCTTCACTGTATGAAGTCTGGGAAGTCCTGACACCCACAAACGGTGCACAGTTACTGCAAATACACAACAGAAATCGGGGAGCAGCCGCCTGGATGCAAGGTGCAGTCAACAATCACAAGATGCTCCTCTGAAGGATGTCTTGCATTTCACAAAACCCAAGGAGGAAGCGTGGTCTGAAATGCGTACATCCCAAACCCCACCTACTGCATTTTTTGGAGACACGGGGGTGTTCAGGAGGGTGAACCGTCACAACGAAACCCTTGGGGTGTGGCTGAAGGGCTTGGCAGATATCGCCATGTGCTTTCTTTCACCTCTGCAAGAGCCAGTGCCCTACGTGAAATGTTATTTGCTTAAATTGTTCATCTGACCCTGCTCTCAAAGCGATCAAAATAAAGCTATCATCTAATGGACCCTGACGGACCAGGGCAGACACGTGGGAGAGCACAAAGGCTAAGAAGTGCCACCTGCACTAAGAGAAGGCTTTAGTTTTCGGTTCCTCAGCTCGCACGCACACAAATCCCCGGGGTGGTGCTCACGGCTAGCGAATATCACCTTTAATCTCCCCTGCCCATTCTGATCTGCTCCCAAAGCCTCCAACAGCCACTCGGCGACCCTGCGACTACCAGGGCTGTGGTGGGTCTGGGTCAAACCGAGAGCAGACTAATGTCCGGGGAGCCCTGGCACTTTTGCCCTGCAAGAGAGACTTATCCACAAAAGGGAAAGGGCATGCAAGTTGTGAGGCTTAAATTGAGGTGACATCTTGGAGGCTCTAGCCTGTTCTGCCAAGCTGCCAGAAACAGCCGATTCCCATATAGAAACAAGCCTGCCAGCTCGATTTTCGAGGTATAGAGAAAGCAGCATCACGTCTGCCAGCTCTCCTGCTCAGAGCAGCAGCCGCTCTCCAGGCACATCCCCTGATGCCTCAGCGATCCCTGCCTGGCTCCACGCACAACACGCTGCCCTACTTAGAGCCTGTGCAAAATCCCAGCCGAGGCAGCGAAGCCGCGCCGCCTCTGAAATACTGCTCTGCGCTGCCCAGCACAAGCCTTTCACTTTCACAATGCAGAGGGGAAATACCAGCCCCGCCACAGACAGGTCCAGGCGGACGGCTGGCATCCGGGGGCTTCAAAACATGATGGCACCCTCCACCCCCCGCCCCCCAAACACACACGAAACCCAACGGGAAAGTTGCCACTAGCTTTTAAACCCGAAACGCCTCCACGGCGGCTTCCAAAGCGACGCCTGGGCCACGGTGAAGCCGCGACAGCACATTTCCAGCCGCTCGTCTACATCCTGCTCTGCGCCTGGTCTTTGCTGTTTTTCACGCCTGGCGCTTTCTTGGCACTTTATTACTATTGTTTCACTCCCCGTAGAGATTCGCACTGAAGCCGAAAGGTCCCTCTTTCGCAAGCAAACATTTGGTTCGTCTCTGCGGCTGCTAACGGAGTCAGACTGGCCCGGCTCTGACCTCAGTCTGCGAGTGCCAGCTTACAAATAAGTTGAGCTAGACAATATGCGTCACTGTGTGCGGGGGAACGAGGGAGAGAAACGCTCCCGCATATACACTTACATAGCAGATAAAGGGCCATCTTGCTTTCTAACCTCGCCGAGCTCCGGATGAAGTGCAGATCAGAAACGGAGCTCGCCCTTCTCGTTCTGCTGGCCATCTGCCTCCCCGCTAGCCAGCCCGGGCCAAACGCTCACTCTCCGATCTATCCGCATGGTCCCTGCAACACGTCCTCTCCCAACTGAAAGATCCTGTCATATCTCAGCCGGAAAAAAACCAGCCCAGCCACATACTGAGAATTTAGCCCAGTGAATCGAAGGGGGTCCAGGGCCGGGAAAGGGAAGAGGATTTATGGAGAATACAGTTGATACTGTTAAATATTATTGTTCACCGAGTGTGTGACCCAGTAATGCTTAATGTAGCACAGTCTGCAAGCACCTCCCTCTCTTCCTCATCCACATCACTAGGCTTCAGCAGCTGCATCTACGTCCTATTTACATGCCGGTGCCTGGGTTTAGGATTTATTAAAAAAACCCCACCAAACAACAAAAAACATCGAGTCGATGGGCTCCTGACCACATGCTATTTGGCTTGAAAAGGGGGGAGGGATTTGCACAGCGCGCACTTCAGCAAATTAAAATTCCTCCTTCCTGAGATGAAGCAAACCAACCTCGACTGCATATTTGGCCCTTGCTCCGAACGCAATGTGTGCAGCACATTAGCTAGCCCAGGAAAAGCAATGCCCTTATTCTCTCCCATTCGCATGCAACGCGCACGTCCGCGCACAGAAGCGTCCTCTTACCTTTCATTGTCCACACTCCTGAAGCCAGGTAAAATGTGCCGGAAGCTGCTGTTCCTATCAAGCTTGGGCTGGCTCTTTGTCCTTTTGATGGAGCCTTTAAGCCGGCGGCTGAGGAACCCCTGTGGGGTGAGACAAGAATACTAAATTATAACAAAAAAAAAAAAAAAAAAAAAAAAAAAAAAAATAAAAAAAAAAAAAAAAAAAAAAAACAAATAAAAAAAAAGGGGGGGAGAGAGCACGAGCCCTGAACCTGCTGCTTCACACCCAAGCGCGGCTCAGCAAATTGTTCTCTCCAGCTCCCTTCATCTGCAGCGGCTGCAAGCGTCGCTCATTGTTGTCAGCCCCGGCTCCGCGGACTCCATCCAACATCTGCTCCCACCGCTCGCGGAGGCCAGGGAGCTACGTCGACGCGAGACTCCCCTAAGCCTCCGTTACCTTGGCAACCATCAGCTCACATAAAAATACTGTCTGAGAGACAAGACGAGCGCGCTGCAACTCCTGGCGAGATGCAAAGCTAGGACTCGGGGTCCTGTCCGGCTCTACCTGGCACCGCTGCCCGGACTGCCTGCCAGGCTCAAGCGCGGACTCACGCCGGGGACCGGGACGAAGAGACGGATGAGCACGGACTCACCTGCTTGCAAAGCCCCCAGCCAGGTCGGGGACTTCCACGGAGCTACGTGAAAAGGGGTCTGTGCAAAAAATCCTCCCCCCGTTCCTGCAGCCTGGAAACGTGCAGTTCCCGAGCAGGTCACCCGGGAGGAGAGAGCAGCCCGATGCTGGACAGACGGATGGACGCTGGGCAGCCTCCCCGTCCCACCTCCACCTGAAGCTGTGGTTCCCGCAGTGCTTTAGAGCAAAGCTAGCCTTCCACATCTTCATAGCAGGGCTGCTAATGGATTTTTTTGCTTACTGTTCAGAGTTAATGTCCTACATAATCTGAACATCACGTTTAATCTCTCAGCTAAGTAAGGCCATAAAAAAAAAAAAAAACAACACAGCCATGGTGCCCAGCACTTACGTGAGGATGGGCTACGGGGTCCAGGCAGGGTGGCCTGGGAAAGCAATGCAGCATTTTAGAAAGGACCAAAAATGCAAGGATAGGAGCCCAGGCAGTCAGAGGGGAGGCTGAGTCCCTCGGGAGACCAACAGCTTGGCAAGCTCTTGCTCTAGCGGAGACCGAGCCTGTCTCAGTCTGAGCCCAGACCCCCCGGGGGCTTCCCTCGTGCACCGAGGGGGGGCAGCCTGCTTGGCCCACACAGGCACTCTCACGTGCACGAGGAAAAAGGAGCAAAAACCCCATCACCCTTTCACGCAGGTAACTGCGCCAGGCCCCTAATCCGTCCCAGCCCTGAGCCTACAAGCTGTTCTAGTCCATCCTTGGATCTGCGCTGCCGTCTCCTCGGGGGGCTCCTACATGCAACCCTAGGCCTCCCCGCCCCTGGGGAAGTTGCTGGCAAGAAGGACGACACGCCACTTAGCCACACACAACCCGTCATTTTGTCCAGTTTCAGAGAGACACCCACACCCCGTCCACGGGGCAGATCAGATCTCGCCGCGGTCGCATCACGTGCAAGCTCCTAGCCCCAAAGGGACTCCCTACTTCGCAAGTGTCAAGAAACCCAGAGACACAGAGAGCCAAAAGTGTCTCTGACTTGCCCCACAACCAAGGAAGAGCAACATCGTACTCATGAGCCAAATGATGTTTTCAGATGCAGCGGCCTGACTGAAAGGAAATGATGCTGGAGCCCTTTCACCTTACACAAATTGCTGCTCAAGACCACCGAGGCCTTTCCACAAAACCCTTTGGATTGTGAGAAAAGCCACGGCAGCATTTCCTTGATGGAACTGGGAAGCAGCAGGAAGCCCCCCCAGAAAGGAATGGGAGCAGTAAACCTGGGATCTGCTTTTTCATGAAGTCTCACCTGATTTTATGTTCCTTCCATTGCCTACAGGCTTTCTTGAGCCCCTACCACTCTCCCCTGACTTGCTAATATTACTCTTCATTGTCTTGTCCTTCCAGCATGCAGGCAAGGGCATTACACCTAACGGGTGAGATTCACCCATGTATGGAGTCAAGAGAATTTGGTCTGTGCGGCGGTTTCACCTTGTCCGCTCGCTGCCTTCCTCGCACTACTGTGGGGAAGAGGAGGAATCATTTTGCCACGTCATATAATCTTCCTGGCATCGTTATTCCTTTTGCTCTTCCCTTGGAGGAAAGATGCAGCAATGCTCTCTTGATTACGACACCGAATCGGACCAAGTCTCTATTAAATCCAGTAGCCTGTGACTGGCAACGGGCAATACCTGATGTTTAAGCCAAAGGAAAAAATGCAACTGGCCAATTGTGTATTCTTCCCCAACTCCGATGGCAATCAGCTTTTTCCTGGATGCAAGAGACTGGCTTGTTTTTATCTCTGCCAGACTAGCTAGAAATATATGTCATAACATTATCCAGACAATTTTTAAAATCCAGTGACAGCTTTTAACTCTGGACAGGGAATGGAGAGGGAGGAAAACGTGTATTTTCTGTAACAAATGATCATGGCTTTCTCCCACTATCTTAACGTTTCACATCTTGACAATTGTGAGATGAGTCGAGCAGGACTTGGAAATTAGAATTTAAGATTGCAATAAGACATTACACCCCTTCTGTTTCCCATTGTTTTTTACATTTATTGCCACCAGAAGGAGTTCACACTGTGCCATTTTCAGTTTTCATTGCCAGCTTCATTGGGAGAATGAGATGTCAGAGATTTTAATGCTGGTAAATTATCACATCATAACAGCACTTT